ATTCTCTTAATCCGTCACTACACGGACAGCATTATAAAGCATTACCTCATACATTCTAGTTAGTCACACTCTATGTCTTTAGCCCACTTCAATAAGCCATTTGCCAAATAGTACTCAATTTATTGCCAGAATTGGACAGCATTTGTCTCTGCCATTTGAGCGGTGTGCCTAACGTCTATAATTCACCCGTATTAGTACCAAACGGAAAAGCGCTGCAGTATACAGCGAATACTCTTCATAAATTTAGCATGTTCTGTGTGAATTATTGTGTCTTACTGGTAACTATATGCTTTCATTGTCAAACTATTTTCACACCTGACCACGGTCTCAGTAATCGGTCGAAATTTTCGTTTACTCAAAAGATATTGTCCTGTTTATCTTATAAATGTTATTGTATCTTCATATTTTTTTTATACCTACCGCCATTCTCTCATTAGACAGAAACTATAATTCTAAATTTAGTAAAAATGCATAAAATTGTTTCTTACACATCACGTTTAACAATGCTCTTGCTTTATTTAGTTCCTCCAAAGCACCCAGCGCATTATTTTCTCAAAAGAAGGTAATGTACGTCGGGATATTGATTCATAATTCCTTACTCGTATAATATAGTATATAATATTCTAAACTACGGCTCTAAAATTTTAGATCTATTTTCAAATAAATATAAATATTCAAAAACAGAATTAAAATTACATAAAACTAATAAATCAGTGTTAAAGAAGTATTTAAGTCTACAAATGTACGGCAATTATTAAATAAATGTCTACTCCATTCAACCCGAATAGTCTAGGCCTAGCACTGAATTTATATTAGGAAATAAAATCTCAGAAGCATTCGATTACCTGACTTCTGACAATCAAATTCAAAAAATCTGAAATCGTTTCATTCAGAGAAGATTTCTAACTGAAAGATCTCGTAAGCAATAAAGGATAAATTGGGTCAAAACCGGGACAAACGTGCTTGAACTACGAAATGAGCTATTTTGGTCACAACTACTCGTAACTACATATATGACAACACATTCGAACGAATGCAGCCGGAATCATATTATCAAAAAAAAGGAAATAAAAAAATCTGGTTTTCTGTAAAATGAGTAATGTAACCATCGTTATTGTCCTTTAAAAATTATAAAATTGAAATGTACATAATGCTTTTCAAATGAGAAGATAACCGCCATTTTCTTTGTAATTGGTCCAAAACTTGAAACCCAAAAAATATGAAAAAGAAAAAAAAAACAGATATGGTAATTGACAGACAGTGAATTTTTTTTGGGAATAATTGATTATTTTTGGAGTTAACATTCACATCATCATCAACTGCCTTTAATAGTCCACTGCTGAATATAGGCCTCTCCTTCGAAAGGAGGTTTTGGCTTACTATACCAGGCTGCCCAGACGGGTTGGTATAGGGTTTGTGTCCCCGGGCTGGGTGTAATCTGTTACGCAGACGATACCCTGGTGACAGCCCGGGGGGCAAACTTCCAAGAGGCGGCGCGCCTGGCCACAGGGGGAGTCTCCCTGGTGGTCGGGCGCATTGAGGCGCTGGGCTTACGGGTGGCCCTAGATAAGACGGAGGCCCTGTTATTTCATGGGCCCCGTCGTGGTCCACCCCCTGGCGCCTCCATCGTGGTCAACTCGGTCCTCGTACCGGTTCGGGCCCAGATGAAATATCTGGGCCTGATCCTCGACGGGAGGTGGCTCTTCGACGAGCACTTCCGACAGCTGGTCGGCGCTGCGTCTGCCCTAGGGCGACTCTTGCCCAATATGGGTGGACCCAGCGTCGCGACAAGACGGCTGTACACGGGGGTTGTCCGGTCAATGGCACTGTACGGTGCACCGGTGTGGGCAGCGGCTCTGACCGCCCAGAATAGGGTACGCCTCTGGCGCCCTCAGAGGGTAATGGCGGTCAGAGCCATACGCGGTTACCGCACCGTGTCGACGGAGGTGGCATGCGCGTTGGCCGGAACTCCCCCGTGGGATTTGGAGGCGGAAGTGCTCGCCGAAGTTTATCGGCGAGTGGCTGACTTCCGGGCGGAGAGCGGATTTCGCCCTCCGCCCGAGGATGTGCGCGAGTGGCGCGAAGCCGCTCGCCGAGCCACGATGGCTCGTTGGTCGTTCCGGCTGGAGACTCCACGCGCTGGCTTCGCCGCCGTGGAGGCTCTCCAGCCGGTCATCGCCGAGTGGGCAGGGCGGCAGCACGGGACCCTTTCCTTCCGACTGACGCAGGTGCTTTCCGGGCATGGTTGCTTCGGAAAGTACCTGCACACGGTCGCTAGGAGGGAACTGAGTCCCGCCTGCCACCACTGCGACTGCAGTGAGGACTCGGCCCAGCACACGCTGGCGGTCTGCCCCGCATGGGCGGCGCAGCGCCGGGCCCTCACTGCAGTCATCGGAGTGGATCTCTCGCTACCGGCCGTAGTACGCTCCATGGCCGGTAGCGACAGTTGTTTTACCGCGGTCGCAACCTTCTGCGAGGTAGTAATCTCGCGGAAGGAGGCGGCGGAGAGGGCCCGGGAGGACGACCTCCACTCGGACCCGATCCGCCGCCGGCGAACCGGGCGGCGGAGGCCCGCCTATCACAGCCTCATGCCGCCCTGAGTGTGGCCGCGGGTGGACGGGGTGGGTTTCCCCTCCACCCGCATTAGTTTGGCCAGCCGCGAGGGGGCGGCGTCCGCGTGTGCCGGACGTCGCCTATAAAGAGAGGAAAAACATCGAGACGGAGCCCGCACCAGGAGCGGGCTGGCGCTAGGAGGGGTCCGGATGTCTTAACAACAGCTGTTCCCGGATCCCTCCTGTTACAGGCGCAGAGTGGCACACCGTGTGGTTTTAGTCGGTCCGAGTCCGACACACCACCCCGCCGCAAACCCCGGAGGGGTGACGGTCCGAGGGGATTTCCACACGTTAAAAAAAAAAAAAAAAAAAAAAAAAGGGTTTGTGTCAAGTTTTCCTTCTCCTTTCAGTGTTTTTGTCCTGCACAGGTTGCTCCTTTAGTCGGCTCTCACGACACCCACGTGATGAATAGGGGTGGTGACACTCCGTATTCTTAATCCGTCACCACACGGACATTACTTTCTGACAAGTGTGAAGTGAAGTTGTTACAGTCGTATATATCTTCATATACGTAACGCCTTGAACTTTACTCGAATCGAATTAGGTAATAAACCTATAGGCCACTTCTAGCCTATAAGTTTATTCTAGCTTAACAATATACATATATGACACGACAAATGAATCGCTTCTGGCTGTAGTCAAATTTCGAGATGACTATGACTGTTAAAAATATGCTTACCTTACAATAAAGTGTGTATGACAAATCTTCCCACATTTGTTTCTTATTTCAAATTTAAAACACTAGCACTATTTGACTACAGCAATTAATAGAGAAAAATTACAAAATATTTCAATTTACTCTACTTTTCGTCGGTAATACTAACTAGATGTGGCTCTAGTACTAACAAAATGCAAGCTATCAAGAGGATATGGTGTAGATCACACTGTTGGGTAGCCTCGTGTGGGCTAGACAGCAAATATACTTCGAGATATCTATTGATGCTGTAACCCTCTTGCAAGAAATGTAGTCAGCAAAAGCAAGAGAGTTATGTTAAGACACGTCCGGAGTGAATTTCTTCTAAAATCCAAGCCATAGCACCTTTAACCTTCAGAAGGCGGTTGTTAGTCGTAGTGTTATTCTTTTCAAAAAGAGACTAGGTGTCAGAACTTCATATGGGTATTCTCAACAACGCATTAATGAGTGAACAGTTATCAGAGATGTTTATAGATCTATACCGATGTAACGGCTTAACAATTGGTTAGTTAGTCACTAGAAGTACTCTATAATGTAGTACACTATACACACTTCATACTATAAACACGATGAAACACAGAAACAAGAACATTTATTATTTTATGTCAATAAGTTTTCATATATAACCTGTATGAAAACTTGTCGATACAAAACATTTTTATTCCAGTTCAACTTTTGCAAATCCAATATTTTTGTTCCAAATAAAACAACTTCAAACGTTCCCGTGTAAGCACTTATTTGAACTCGAAAGAGCCAGAAATGCAACCGGCAGAGGAAATATTACATTTCCCTTTTAAGAAGTTTCTTTACGAGGTTACTTTTTGTTATACGTACGTCGATTGACGACAAATACGGATAGTGGGTAGGATCACTGGATATTCTCTATGATTCTCATCTAAAATATTACCGTAAATATAGCCTCTGGGATTTTGGCATCCGATGTTGTAATGCGAGGCCGTAAACCAAAATGAATTCGGGAAAATAAGCGTTTATATATTTATGTATATACGTTTCATTATTGTTCTCTATGTACCGAAGTCAGAGAGAATCAGATCACCGAAAATGTTGGGACTATAGATAATATTTTATATCTTACTGAAGAGTTAGATTATAAATGTAGTTAACTTTCAAAGGCGATGGAAGTAATTAAAATTAAGAGCCGTATATTTGGGTTCCTGAAATATTTTAAAATAGTATTAAATTTCGCAGCGGCCTTTGGTTTCATAAATAATTGGTTTTCTTCTGATTAATGATTTTGAGTAAGTTTTTGGCTTTGATGTTTTATTTGCAATTAAAACCTCTATGGCTAATTATTAATTCAAATATTTAACTCATTGTATTCATTTTAGTCCCAAACTAAGAGTTTGTACTATGGGTTTTTTATAAATGCATACTCGTACATATTAAACATAGAAATATAGGCTGATAGTGGCAGTAAGGGTAAGGTATGTAATACCTGTTTTATAATTATACATTTTTGTATTATCAACTGAATCTATCGTATAAGTTTATTAAGTTCATTGTGAAAATAATGTCACAAAACAATTTTTAATTCCATGCTTTAAACATATTTATGAAACCGTCGTTTCTGAAAATTGTATTAATATTGCTTGCAGGTTTTACATGTTATTCAAGCAAAAACCGCCTGAACCACAAGAATTTTATCCAAGTCAAGTAAAGCATGCAAATAAACATTATAATTCAAAATCATTACCTTGCACGGGTGTATAAATGTTCATATAAAGACAGTCTTCACTCTGGTTCTTCAGCCGCGGCAGTAATCTTCTCAAGTACTCCAGCCTGCCTTTGGGCATTCTTTCTAAAACCAATGTCTCATTGGAGATATCTGGTAGTCTTTGCGGACAGACCGGTCCCATCTGGTCGACAGTTTTAACGTCATCCCAAGGTGCTGGCGCTCGAGTTGGTGCGAATCTTAAAACAAGTGAAAAAAGAAATTACTACAGATATAGTTTAAACAAATATGTCTAGTAGTATAAATAAATAAGTCTTAAAAGAACACTGTGTGCATTCCAGCTATCACATCTTGAACATTGGTTATGCTATTTGTAAGAAGTGCTACCGTGGGAGAGCATGCTTTGGCACGAATGGGCCGGCTCGACCGGAGTGATACCACGGCCTCACAGAAAACCGGTGTTCAAAAGAAAACCAATTCTTTCGTTGCCTTTTACTGAGTGAGTGTGGTTACCGGAGCCCAAATCCCCCCTCCCCCTGACTCGAGCGGGAGGGACTCCAAGGGCGGCAACGCACTTGTGACTTTTGAGTTGCAGGTGTCCATGGGCGGCGGTAGTTGCTTACCACCAGGTGACCCGTTTGTCCCCTTATACCATAAAAAGAATTATACATAAATATCACAGTATGTAAACTAGATTGGACTGACTAGATTGGATGCGGAAGACGGGGGACTTAAGTATATAAAGCAAGCTGGGAGAGTCTTATGTTCAGAAGTAGACCATAATTAAGTGATTGAAAACCTATTATCAACGTTGATCATTAAAATATTAGATATTAAGATCAAATAAACGGAAAACTCTGTAAGAGTCATATTTAATCATAACATTTTCTCCTTACTAAGAAAATTGTATTCTTGAACTGAATTATGCACACGTATGCACTGGACTGCACACCATGTTACAGTGATTTCTTATCCAGGTTAAATTTTCAGCTGGCAGATACAGGTCGAGTTTACACTTTAATCTTAAAGCAGCTTTCTTGGGCAAGATTTTTACGTATTTTTAAGCCAAAGTGTAGGAGTATACCAAAGCAAGATAAGTCGTGACTGTTTGCATCTAAGCATTTTTAAAGATTATTGTGCTCAGCTCTGCCAGTAAATGTACTTGAGATGGTTTTACTAACATTTAAAGACTTTGATATTCATAAACTCGTTCCACTACCACTTTTATATAAAATATAACATTACAATAAATACGACTTTTATTTTCTTTCCATTGCTGTTCTATTTTTAACCCCTTTCCTAAGATAAATTTGTTTTGAGAGACTCTGCCTTTCAATTGAATTTATCTTTGAAACGACATTTCCACTTTACCAACACATCGAAACCTAGCCAAGCGTTTAATAAGATAAAACTTACTAACCAAAAAATTAAGAACATACCTGTTTGAACCCGTTGGAGGTGTAGCGTAAGGAACACCAAGATACGCCTCGACGGGTTTTAAGTACTTATGTTGATCCATTGGGAGAATTACACCTTGCAGTTTTCCGTACCTTGTCCCAATCACTCTCGTCCGTAGCATAGAATTTCTGCTTCCAAATCCGTTGCAATTCGAATTCTGGCTCATCAGTAATAAGAGCAGTGTAACAATTTTCAATTTAGTTTGCAATCCTAAGTTTAATGCTAATCTCGTTTTCAGATTGTTTCTCTTTTCGTATTGTGTCCTTACTGTTTGTGAAACAGATTCTAAGTCTATTATGTACTGCTTTATTGAATTGCAAATGTGTAGTGATAGTTTATGGGTGTCCATTTTCTTTGAATATCACCTTTGTACACCCATTTCTTTATGTTGTTCTTAAAGTATTTACCTCTGAATTCATTTTATTTATGATCATGTCATTTTTAGTCATAGATTTATTTGGTGGTACAGGATGAATGCAGCCGTTTTCAGCATCTAGAACAAACGATTTGTATGTTATTAAATATATTGTAAGAAATACCTAGATGGAATTGGTTTGAACCAATGTTCCCAACCATTTCAATAAAAAGCGCGGCTGCAAAAAACTACGATAAATACTTTACTAACTACGACGTAACTACGACGAGTATTTTACATTAATAATATAGAAAAATACGATAAGAATAGGTGACGTCACAACTGTTCAATTATGTGACATTTCAGTTTGAAAACGTCAAGAGTTTATTTTGAGTGAGGTCGTTAAAGGTGTGGTAACATCGGTATGACATATTTTTTTATAGGAGGAATTATTCACAAATATGATACAAGTACTTGTAAAATGACATGAAGGAGTCCAAAAAAAGGCGGTTTGGATTGAAAAGCGTTTGAAGCATCTGTGGAACAAGTGATAAAATGGGTTTACTAGATTTTTGAAAGTAATTGGTTTTTTGTTTCGTCCTGTCAAATAACGTTTTCTGTTCTGAATACGTAGAATTTAACAGGACTGCAATTTTTTTGGTGCTTTTTAATTTAGTTTAGAGAGTTTTCGAACAACAGAATTAACACCAATGTAATATTTAGTGTTTGAATGCGACTTTTTATCGGGAATAACCATTGTAAATAAAAAATAAGTTTTATTTCAGTGTTACACTTTATGAAAGGTATATTTTCCATGTCCTGTTTCTGTTTATCTCATGTGATATTTTTTCCGTTATAAAAAATTTAAAAAAAAACAAAGCATTTCCCTTAAAGTTCGTCGCCTAGTACATATTTTAAGATCCTAAAAGTTTTCTTAAAACATGGAAAAATATTGTTGGAATCAAATCTTGATTAGGTCAAGATTGTATATTAGGTCTTACCTATGAAATTGCCGTTTTATATGCATTAAGAGAAAGTACTTAATTTTATCAAACTATTTTATTTCTGTTATTCGAAGTAATCACCCATGCAATCGACGCATCTTTGCCAACGCATTGGCAGTTTATTGATGCCCTTCTTGTAAAAATCAGCTGGACGGGAGGCAACAAACTCTTCAAAGGCATTTTGTACTGCCTCTCGGGAATTGATTTTTTTACCCACTAAAAAGTTGTCTAAATTTTGGAAAAAGTAATAGTCGGTAGGTGCAAGGTCTGGTGAGTATGGCGGATTAGGGAGAGCTTCCAACCCCAGCTCTTGCAGCTTGGAGACTATCTGTTGCGCAGTATGGGGTCGCGCGTTGTCGTGAATGAGCAGTGGGGACGAACGATTGACCAAAGCTGGTTGCAGATGTGACCACCAGACCTTGCACCTACCGACTATTACTTTTTCTAAAATTTCAATAAACTGCCAATGCGTTGGCAAAGATGCGTCGAGTGCATGGGTGATTACTTCGAATAACAGAAATAAAAAAGTTTGAAAAAACAAGTACTTTTACTTATTGGATACAAAACAGCAATTTCATAGGTAAAGACCTATTATATACAACATTATATATATTACTTGATTACTATCTTCTGAGGAACCTAATAGTAATGAAGGCAGTATTGCTGTCTCCTGTAGCAACAAAATCCGTTTCCTATCATACAAATGGTACCTATGTCTTAAGTCTTATTGAATGTGCTAGTACATCTTGTGTGATTTGATCCCCATGTAGACAATTCTGATGGAAAATCAATGAGAGAATTGATAAAGTTACGTTATGATAACATTCTCATCAACCGTAGAGAGCAGAGCTAAAAAAAAAATAAAGTGAAAATAGTAGTTTTATTAAGTTTCTGAACAAAAATTAAATGTTTCATACTCGATGATAATTAAAATAAGAAACAAGTGAAAAAAAGTTACATTCAGGCTGAATAATTTAATTACTCTCAGATCGAAGCGTTTCTAAATCTCCGATTCGTAATTAAAAATTCCAAAGAATCAACTGAGAATGAATAACCAACGATTTGTTTCACATTGTTAATTTACTGTAATCGCCACAACGGTATTAGAGATAATTTATTTAGTCAGTTAAAAATTAATATCAAATAAAGCTGATTAAATTCCACGGCACGGTTTTGTTACGTGAAAATAACATGTTTGCGTTGTCGTTAACGGCGATGATTATTTGGCCGTTTTTATACGTACAAAACCGGATAGCCTCTGCCCCTAAGCCCGTTAATATAAATTAATAATACAGTCGGGCTAAAAATTTACCTTTTTGTATGTAGATATTGAATACGTAAATAACAAAAGGTTGTTTTGGGCTTCGGAAGTCTTGTATGGACAATATAATAATTAATAAACCTTAAATCTTTTTTTTTGTTTTGTATTCATGGTTGGATGAGCACAAAATATGTGTTTAAAATCTTTTTTCGTATATGTTTTGTTATATATTGTTTATATCTGGGGAAATGCGCAGGTCAGGGTTACCTGATAATAAGTGACATCTGGAACTCAAAAGTCACAGGTGCGTTACTGCCTTTGAGGTGGGAGTGCTCTAATTTCTTGAAGGTTTCTCGAAGAGGGTAGAAATCAGGCAAGCGGTCGGCCATATTTTTTACCCACAACGGCACGGAGAAGCTACGTTTAGGGTAAGAGATGTTTGTTTGTGTGTTTGTTTGTGCAAACCAATGTTGCCATTTATCTCCAAAACTAATATTTCGATTTTAATGCAGTTTTCAGTAATGGGTTCGTTATTTGCTCTTTTTTCGATTACGTTTTAATCCTCATGGATTTTTTTCAAAAAATAATAATTTTGCTTTTTTCTCATAGCATAGTTAAGCAATCGAGCAGACGCGACATCTGATGGTAAGTGACTATAGTTGCCATTGAACCTGTAACTCAAAAGTCATAAGTGCGTTGCCACCATCTAAGTCCACCCCTCCTTTACACGAATTTGAACAACTGTTGACAGAGACACAAAAGATTGGCAATGAAATTAAGCTTTAGTAATAAGGAATAAATGAGAAACTAAATGGATTGTAGATCTATCAAATTGTGTCGGCAAAGTGCTCATTTTGTTTTTCAACACCTGTGACAATAGATTTTCTTAGATATAAAGAGAGTTATAAAACATAGAAAAAAAAAGAAGTGCCTACATCCTTCTCTTCTCTTACAATTTTATAAAAAAATAATATCTTTAAACAAATATTCAACAAAGGCGTGCAGGATATGGACTCTAAATCAGGCGAAGACATTGAATTTGACAAAGAGGTACAGACAACCAATCTGCTATAGAAATATTCAAAGGTGGGTCTTTAAACAAAGAATTTGAAACCGATATAATTGACAAGTATTTCAATCACCTTACACTTTTACAATACAACTAACTGAGAGTAAAACCGTATATCCGTGTGGTGACGGATTAAGAATACAGAGTGTCACCACCCCTATTCATCCGTGTGTTGTAAGAGCCGACTAAGGTAGTAAACTACGCAGAACAACAACACTGCAAAGAGAAGGAAAACTTGAAACCAACCTTATATCAACCCGTCTGGCCAGCGTAGTATAGTAAGCCAAAACCTCCTTTCTGAGGAGAGGCCTATGTCCAGCAGTCGACTATTAAAGGCTGTTGATGATGAGACTAAAACTAATTTCAAAGTCTTCTAATACTTCAATAATATAATAATAATATCTCACACATCTCACACACGGCCGTCTGATCCCAAACTAGGCAGAGCCTGTACTATGGTAACCAGACCGCTGATAAACATACTTATATATTTTTAAATACATACATATTATAGATAAATTACACCCAGACACAGAACAAATGACCGTGCTCATCACACAATATTTGTCCTGGGTGGGAATCGAACCCACGACCTCCGGCTTAGCAGTCAGGGTCACTAACCACTAGACCAACAGGCCCGTCATATCAACAATTTACTTCAAGATATTCATCAACAAAGTCATATAGGTATTATTCATTCAAACAATATTGATATTTGAAAAATGGGGTCTTTAAGGGTCCGTGACGTCATAGGATCTCATAAAATATTTACCTTAAGGGTATTATACCCGATGAAAAGTAGCGTGATCCATCAAATAAATATTTTAGTTTGTTTGAAATTGTAGCACATACCAATTCCGTATATAATTTAGTATAACGTTCAACATGCAATCATGAATATGTAAAATAATTTTCAAATCACATCTAGTCTCTTTTTTATATCGGAGTCTTTACAACTCAGTACACAGATAAAATTTATGAATTTTCCCCTTTTCATGAATCGCTCTTTTTATTTTCAAAATATTTTTTACCGTATTCAATAGAATTTAGTTTGATTTCGAGACTCGAGAGTTCGAGTTCTGAACATCGATTTAATACAGTATCCCCTTTGATTAAGAGCCCTTATCGAACCCAATTACGAGTAAGGCTTCCTCAATTACAACCTTACAACGTTAATATTATTATTTACTACAGTGTTTGTTACAGTTATATCACATCATCACATCAACAGCCTATAATAGTCCACTGCTGGACTTAGGTCTCTCCTTAGAAAGGAGGTTTTGGCCTACTATACCACGTTTTCGCCCTTAGTCGACTTTTACGACACCCACGGGATGAATAGGGGTGGTGACATTACGTATTCTTAATCCGTCACCACACGGAAACGTGTTACAGTTATATTTTGGTCGAGAAATAATAATATATTCCAACCGAAAGAAATGATAAAATCTTTGAAAATACCATTTTTATGTCTATCAATTTCGCATACAAAATTGAGAAGTGGAAATGAATTTAGGAATAGATCACGTGCCAACCGTAAATCGGTAAAGCAAAGTTAAATTGGGGTCTATTGTCGACAAAGTTTCGCCTATTGCCACAGGTCCCTTTCTATAGATTATATTTGTGCGCGTTTATGTAGCCTATTAGTCAATAGGGTGGG